AAAATAGAAAAGAAATATACGAACTAGTGGAAAATGAGTGATCATTGACCGACATGAAATAGACCTGCGGAGGATATGACAAAGGACTGGCTGGTGGCTACAGCTTACATTAAAGTATATCAGGACCGTCGTGAGGAGGCGAGTGCGATGGCGTCTACCGTCATGGTGTAAAAAATGTTCACCTATTTTAATTATGGACACTGCATTGTGTTCTGGAAAATTCTTTCGCAATATCTCTTTTTCATAATCGTGTCAGTTTTGCATCATTTATTAAATTATATAGGCGCTGCAGATTCATATTAGGTTTAATTGATTCGTTATCAAAAATGGGATACTAATTATTATTTTCTGGTATTATTTACATATTTTGCAACACCCATAAATCCCCAAAAAATGTATAAGTGAAGTTAGTGAACCAACTTGGCTGTCTATGCCAACCAATAATTTTGCAAACGACCACAGAACATTACTCAAGGTAGCTTAGCGGAATTGCTTCCCCATTTACAATTTGGCCATATTTTATTGCCTGTCCTAATATCATTGCGTGGCTCAGTAGGGTATATATATATGAACAACCAGAGTGCATTTTAATCTCGTTTTGTGAAATCATCTGAAGATCCTCGTTGATTTTGGCAAACTTCTCTCCCGTTGAGGTTATTGTGTTTTTGTAAGATCGGTCAAAAACAATTATTTTCACTAATATCTGACGTGTAACCGCTCACGCATCCGCATTTTCAAGCACGAGATCCACACTAGGCAGGTTTTGAATGTTCATGAACTATCCAAAGTTTTAAACAAAGCATATATATTTACAGTGGCTCGACAGTTGCTGCCGAATTTATTACTTATTTTGCGAGATAGGGGAATTGGATTTTAACCCGAGATGTGTAATCTGAGTTGCTTAAAAACATCTTCACAGTCCATATATGACGATTGATTCGTTTGGAGGGTGGATTGATAGTAGGCGAAAATGGCAAGCTATCAGCGTTCATGAATAGAGCAAAATAATGTTGTACGGCCGTACAAGTTTGTGTCTCGCTGTGTGCTAAATCGCTTTGTGTGAAATCGCCTATGAAAAAAACGTAGGTTGAAATATATTCAAGAGCCTCCACTGGCTACGCCTATGTTCATACATGCAACACCCAATCCATTAGATTATACCTACATTACCGCAATATCCTATTTGCACATAAATTCTTTCTTGCAAAAGTACATTTGCGCAAAAATCCATTCTCACAATTACATTCTCACAAGAGTCAAACCACGTAAAGGTTCATTTTCTCAAAACTGCAGTCACGCAAAAGTTTGTTCTTGTGAACATTTACGAGCAGTTTCGTTTTGATATATTGAAATTTTTGCAAGTTGACTGCTGCCGAAAGCAATAGTCTACCTATTATGCTGCAGAGATGTATCTAACATTTGGCAACGTAGGCTGGAGCCAAGGGGGCCTCAATATTCAATTTTGAACTATTATTCATTTTTAAGGGATTTGAAATTGTGAAAGTTTGTTCCAGAATAAAACTGCTTGAAATTTTATATATATATATAACTGATATTTGTTGAGTCGTTTATATTGTGTATATATATATTTTTATGTTTATAAACAGTTATGTTGACCCTTGTTTAATGCTGTTTTGTTGGATCTGGACTCCGACCACTCACTACACGTGAGAGAAAAGCTGTGTCTTTCGCTCTTTTCTCCGACCGTCGGGCTGGAGGTCGGTCGTGTTTTTGGTTCTTAGTGATGTAATCTGTTATTCCAGTGGTTCTCAAATCTCAACCTTTTTCATTCCGCGGACCGGTAAAATTTCACAATAAAATTTGGGGACCGGTGGACCTTCAAAATTAACCAAAAATGTCATAAACACAAAACGTAAACAAAAGAATGCAATTAGGACACAAGTAGGCGTTGCAGAAAAGGACAATCCAATTTAATGAAAAATTTGCTGCTGTTTTTTTATATATTAAACGTGTTAAACGCTGTTCTAATGAAGTTTCTGCAAGGCGAAGTAGAGCTGTTTGAACTGGATAATATTTTGCTGTTTGTTTGCATCCATTTTACTATCAAAATTTTTTCAATCACGATCTCGCAATTATTTCCTCAAAATCCCGGAATTTAAGGATTTGTTATCCACATATAGATATTCTCACAAATTGTAGGTTATACCATTTTATTTAATACTTAATCAAAAAAAAAAAGTCATCCACGCTTACAGTTTGAGTCAGCCAGACTAAGTGGAATTATTGTGCAAAATTTTACCAAGGAATTATTATTTGATCAGTAGAATTGCCATTATCGCGACAAATTTAATCATAATTTGAACTCAAAACAGCATTCAGGATTCACGCAATGACTTAGCAGGGTTTTTATTACTATTTAAATACGAAAATGAAACAGCCACAATAGAAAAGTAAAATCAAGAAGTCAAACTGTAACAAAAAGATCAAAGCCGACCCAAAAGATGAGAATCGGTAATCCCGAATTCAACCCGATATTCGACAATTCGTTAAAATTATTCGATTCGATGAAAATATACTATTTTGGCCACGCGATCTGTAATCATGCCAGCAATCTGGCGAAACGCGTGAAAATTGTTCATAACAACGTTAAACCTATTTAGTATTTTTAGCATAATAATAAATCGTTGTAATGAAATACAGAAATACACCTTTCATTTCTCTCGCAAGTGCCGACAATAACACTATTGAATGATTTTGGAAATGGGAGAAACATATCGAATTGTGACAAAAATGAATTAAGTTGTGAAAAAGTGACAATACTCGTGCATGTGATAATAATAATGGCTTAACGTGGAACGGCGAGCAAAACCTAAGCGCGTGATCGGCGGCAGGTTTGGAGGCACATATTACCCGTGCGGCCGCGAAACGTTTACAATAATGTGAGGTGCACCGAAGACGCTTTCGTTTCCTTAGCGCAGCTCGTGTAGCATTGGCTCATGCAAGGGAAAAACTACAAAAAAAAACAAGACTCGTTTTGCAAAAATAAATACTTTCACTTCAATAATTAGAATGAAAAGCAACAGCATCATTCATTGCTACTACAATGAAAATTTGACTATAAGGACATAAAAAAAACTAAACTTTCCAAAAATAATAGTAATTTTTGATAGGCTTGTGGCCCACTTGAAAATGTCTCTATGGCCCAGCAGTGGGCCATGGCACTCTAGTTGAGAACCAGTGGCCTAGCCGATAGCAAGAAATTTTCATAATCTTTGTTTTGCAGTTATTTTGAATAAAAACGTGTTATTTATAAGTGAATGGATATTTGAAAATCCCGTAATTCAGTACTTTGTAATTTTGTTTTCGATAAATGTAAATATAAGACATCCCTCGAAAATAAGCCCTAGTGCAGTGGTTTCCAAACTTTATAATATCGTTCCCCCTAAATTGAATTACCAGAAACTCAATTACTCCTTTCATAAAAATACAGTAGTCATATCGTTATTACTTTTTTGATCAAAGACTTGCTTGAAGATGCTGAACGTGCGCTACATCAGCATTTTAGCCTACAGTCTGTACGACAAAGTATTGTTAATACGTCCTTACGAAGTGCGTGACTAGACGACTAGGTTCATTTACTAGATGCGAGCATTGCATGTCCAGCTTTTGAGCAGACTAGTCAAAAGTATGGGGATCACGGAAGAAATTGTTAAAACGATGAACGTCTGGATTCCCCATTACAAATTACCCCTTTGGGAGTAATCAACCCCCGCTTGGGAACCACTGCCCTAGCGTTATTTTCGGAAGAAAATTGAAATAAGACCCAGTCTTATTTTCGGGGGAATACGCTAGTTGCGATAGTGTGCTTTCTATATATATCATGCCCTGATGAAGTTTTTCTGAATAGAAATTCAAAACGAAGACAAATTACATCGTTTTGCTGCACACTGGTTGTGCTTTATTTATCTTCGACGTATAAGGAGAATGCAAGATGAATTATGATATGTTTAACCGAAACATGACGAATCGTATTGTGTTTTCCCGAAAATAAGACCTAGCTTGAAATTTATGAATGTTTTTAATACAAGCCCTAATATAAAATAAGACCTAGTCAATAACGCGGATTTTTTGACTTTGTCGATAAAAAGAAATCTCTCCTAAACGTTTTGAATGATTGATAATCTATGTTTTGCAGCTATTTTGAATAAAAACGTGGTATTTATAAGTAAATGGATATCGATTTTCTTATTTTGTGTATTTGAAAATCTCGTAATTCCCTACTTGATAATTTTGTTTTTTATAAATGAAAACATATGACATCCCCCGAAAACAATGCCCTAGTGTTATTTTTCGGAAAAAAATTAAATAAGACCCAGTTTTCCCAGACCCGGAAATCCTATTCCTGACATACACTGGTAACTGGGCGAGGTTTGCTATATGGTTAAGTCAGCTTCCCTCTTCCCAGGATGAATATATAAACTCTATCCTAATAATTTCCATTTCCGCCGCCATCACTGCACGGCGATAGAATTATGTACGATGTCACGCGCCTGCCTCTTTGGGGCGGGCTATGGAAAAACCAAGCCTTTTTGATTGTTCAATTGCCTGGAGCGTCTAGTATCCTTAGCTAAAAAGTGTGATGCATTGTCCGGTCAAACAAGTATCAAAGATACTTTCTTCCGAAAAATAGGATAGGATCTGCATATGATGTCGACCATACCTTCTTCCACAGATAGAGGACACGGGACAGTCTGGTTGTGGAGTCGGAGCCACCCAGCCTCTCCCCGGACGCAAATTTGAATTTTTTTTCATCAAGTTGATGAAATTTTCCTCCACCATGATCCAGGGTTGAAATTGTTTATTAAACGGCCCTGAAGTCTGGTGAAAATTGTTTTTTTGATTCTGATTACCTAGCATACACTTATTGACTTTGCCTGGCCAATAGCACAGACTTGATCACATAGAGATTTAATCAAATTCGACCGATGTCAGCTACTAATCATAATTCGAGCTGTGGTATGTCAAAGAACAACAACGAGTTTTTTTGAAGAAATTATTATGAGAAAAATAGTAAGTTTCTCATCATTTGCCATCTGCTCAGCTAATTACAAAAGAGACAGAGACACCTAAGCATTTGAAAACCAATTTTTGCGAAATCAAAAACAATTACAAAAGTGAGCAAGCTTACATGCCTAGTTCATACTAGATTCCAGATAGTAAACAATCATCATGTCTATTAATACACAATGAATAAAGCCATCCAGGTACTACATAAGCAAACCCATCAACAGCTCGTGATGCACAAAAATTATTTTAGAATGGGTGTCATTTGTGAAAAAAATATTCACCATGGACTGCACAAAGGTCAACATACAAATTTTACAGATTATTGAATATGCTTATAATATAATACTCAAATAATATGTTAATAATGTCCACTTAGTAGAGCCAAGTTTAGATTCTGTTAAATTCAATCCAAAGGTAACAGATAAGCTTCCTGAATAGGACAATGATGCAGGATTTCATCTATACTAAGTCAAAACAATTTATACAAATAGCACAGAAAATAACAGCAGGTTCGTTGAGAACTCTAGAAGTAGATCAGAATCACCAGATGAAGATATTACAAAGTAACAAGATGTCAAATTTGGCAACACTTATAACTAACTAGTGGCAAATGCAGATATCTGGAAATATATTTAAGAAAAGGCTACTCACTAGAATGTATCAAACTGAATGACCATATAGAAAGTGAGTATACCAATCAAAACGCGATGTTTTGGTTAGGTGCATACCGTATAAAATTCATAATTTGAAATCTTATTTTTTGAAACCAAAAAAGATTCGATGTTTCGTTAATTCATATGCAAATCCGCATTTTTTGCACATAAGTTTTATAAAATTTAGTTCCAGAAATCACCTAATTCCTGATATAAGTGCCGCAGGTGTAAAGATCAAAACTACACAATACCAACCAAAGATTGCAAGTTGCAACAGAAAGTTTCCTTTGGGGCAAACATTGTATTAATATGTATGACCTATGTATTTTTTTCCATAATGAAAATATAGTTTTTGACCCATGTATTAAAAAAAGTTCACCATCCCTTTCATAGAATGTAATTCATATCAATTTATTTCATTACCAGCCTGTAAGTGACTGGCAGTAACCAAAGATAGACTAGTTAATCTCTCAGAATTCATAAGGAAGGACTGCTAGGATTTCAGAAGAACTAGAATTCCACTGAACCAAATGTCTTTCGAATGTTTTAGACTAAAAGACATTTGATGAATATTATATATGTTTCATCTTAGCACAGGATAGAAAGAATTCTTTCAAACAGTCCTAATTTTCTATTAGTTCTAACATCACCGACTAAAAACTCCTTTTAATAAATATTCTTTTTTGTTGTATTGTAACCGTGTGAAATTATAGAATTCATTCCAAAATATAAATTCAGGCCATGACGGAGAAGTTCTCCAGAATTTTTCCAAAAAAGCTATCACAAGTGGGTGTGGGTCTTATGGTTGTGGAAACTATAAATTTGTTCTGATACGAAGAATATTAAATCGTTAAAAAGTTCAAATCGTTATGAACATGAATGACAATCCACCAAAATAAAAATAAATCCCATTCATCATTATGAAAATTGATATGAATATGTATATTTAATTTTATAATAATAATTATAAAACCCACGACAACATCGTGTTTTTCAAGACGTTTCATCAGCTATGGTGGAGGGAGACATAAAATCATGAACGATAATCGTAGTAGAAAACAAGGCAGTTAGCAAATACAAAATGAAAATTACATGCTGCTGCAACTACTACACACAAGGATAGATAATCAGTCAGTCGTAAAATGAGAAGAAATAACGCCAACGACGAATAGTAATGGACGAGAAATTAAATCATCAACGGTCAACACGACATCCATAAATGGAAACAGTAAAATAAAAGCGACTTAAAAAATAGAGTATTTTGTAGCCTCAACAAATAATCAAAATCATTTTCACACTACTGTAGTACATTTTTACAATATTTCAAAACGTTCATAAAGGTATCAGCCAAATCATACATATAGAGTAAGTACATATTTATATTACAAGCACAACCTGTGCTCAGTAGCATAAAATACTGGATATGTGTCGACAAATTAATTTTTGAGTTGATAGCTAAGAAAGTTTTTTAAATTACAAGAAAATACTGCTTCACAGATCCTATTCGAGGTTCTATTTCTAATTACAACAGAAACAACTGGAAGTTACAGTGATAAAAATAAGAAAGTAGTTTTTTTAAGTTGTAATTTCTGTTAGTTTCGAAATCTTCCAAGTTGTTTCGGAACAGCAACAAGTTTATCCAGGGATGATGGTTTACTAGTTAGTGCTTATAATTGATAAAATAGCTGTTTGAAGTTTCCTTCAGATTTGAATTATATTCCACAGATTAGCTAGGATCTTCTACCGCATCACTTCGATGAAAGAATGCGACTTGGACCCACTTGATAGCGGGGTGGCTCTAACTCTTGCGTCATTCCACCAGGAACAATAGCAAAAATTATAATACATATCAAAAAGTTCAATTCATAAATCTGAAAAAAAATAATGAGATATAAGTATTAAAATATAAATACTGTGCATTCTAATTATTATTTATAGATTGCGCTCCAGAAGTGTATGTACCAATATGGCGGTAACTAATTTTGTTCGCCTACTTTACATCAAGTTGTGCAAAGGGACTGAAACCTTTGGGCAGGGGGTGTATTCACCTGGCTAAAACAGACAGTCCTCGAACTAGTAATAGAACTAAAAAAAGGAAAATCGGAATAAAATTATGGCCTAACCTGGTACACACACTACGGGAGTACCTTATACACTTATTAACAATTAACTCAATTTAGGTACTTGCCATTAAAAAGAAACTTAAGCTAAGTTTTCTCATTCATTCCCACTGACCTAAATCCCAATACATCAAATACCATTAAGAACTATTCCAATTAGTACTATGTATCAGCAGTAGAAAAATTACTTTTGTTTTGGGGGGATACGCAACATGTCATGATTTGAGAAAATATGAGCCACCGGAATGAAAAAACTTGATAGAATATCAGCTACTGAAATGAATAAACCTTAGTAAATACTAGCTGTTAAAGTTGATCCGCGGTATAGATTAAATTGATTGAACCATTTGAATCTTTTAGAAACCATCTCTCAGGTAGAGAGGTGTGGAAAGTTAGGAATAGGTCTGAAGCATGAATTGAATAGTCAGCCAACTGACATCAGTCAACAATGGCAAACAGTGTATGTTTCAGTCGCCATTTATTCATTCAGTGTCTACACATGGCAATAGTAAATAAATTGTATAAATTCATTTCGATTTTCTTCATTTATGAGTCAATGTTTGTGACCTTGCATCGAGCAAACCATGTTGTCATTCAATAAATTCAATTCATTTAGTATTCTACAGGTAATGGTTTACTAGCTCTCTCAGACAGCTCCCAAAACAAAACAAAAAATACACAAAGATACTTCCTTGTCATCTCCCGCACATTTAATCATTAGTGTACAGCTTGAACAATTTATCACTGCATTGTTTCAAATATGGTACTCCTGCTATTGTTTTTTTTAACTGTGCAATACAATACCAAAAGAGGGACTTATTAATTTAGAATATAATATGTTACATAGGAAGTGTCCAAAGATGTTGATGACTTTACAAATTAAATGACATAATAAAAAACAAATTTAAGTTGAAATACAGGCAGTTTCAACATATGAATATTTAAGATTCATCATAGTTGTTGATATCTGTTATTTACTACCAAAGTATAATTTGAAATATGTCCCAATCCAAACTCCTTTTCTTTCGGTATATTTTATTTTTCAATTTCAATAAAGACACAATTATTTTAGTTTTTGACTCAATTTTAAATTGCATTCACATATCATTGACAAAATGTAAAATTTTTAGATATTTTGAATATTTCCAGATGCAACAAATTTTTTTTACACAGTTATGAAAAATGTGTAGTAATGGATATGGTAGTTTACCTCAATTATGAGTCCTCAGAAGCAGTTTTACCAGTGTAGACTTCTTTAAAAACGCTTTCAATGAGGAATCGCCTAAAACGAAAATAAACCATGAACGAAAAATTAAATTTCCAGAAAGATGACTTGATAGATTTGATATTAGAAACATATTAATAAGGTGATTTCATAAAGATTCCAAATATCCCAATAACGCGGAAGTTGGGAATTTCCATTCTGTAAAAAGCATTGTACTCTCCAAGTCATATATCTAAGGCTAGTGTTCATTCTCCAAATTTGTTTGCTTTAAAGTTTTGAATTGGTTTTAACATGTTAAATCCAGAATATTGATGACATTAACCTAGAACAAATGATGTCCATAACAATTGAGACACTTGTTTACCAAAATTATGATATGTGTCAAATTCAAGAATTAAAATTGGACACAGATCATGATGTTATCAACCATTATTATTGATATTTCTGACAAAAAGCTATCAAACAACTTAAATTCAAATGATAAGACTGATTCAATTGTATGCTTTCACAACTGAATGTTTCAACAAAGTTTCCTTCGCACTTGCCTGGTTTTATACGATGACATTACAAAATAATTTTTTAAGAGACCACAACTGGTAATAGATTTTTCTCATATAAAGCGAACAAACCCAGGGTTATTTATTACAGTCAATACAGCACAGGGAAGTAAAGTTATAAATTTATCAATAGATGTGCCAGAACAGCGAAAGAAACCATCGTACACAAACTGAGTTCTATGACGTAATGTTGACTTATGTTGCGCTACAATGGTGAGGGCAATCAATGGTATGGCGGTCACCAATAAGCAGGGAATAAAGGTGCAGTATTGAGAAATCTACATCCAAAAATTTGCTACGTCATTATAGTAACTGATCAAAACAATGTCAATGACATCACTTTATTTTTATAGTAATAGTGTGACATCATAATACATAAATAAACTGTATATATAAGATATTACACAACATTTTAAATGTCTATTCGAAAACATATAACAGACAATGAATAGAAAATGAAAAATCAGCTATTCACTAATGAGATATCATATTATTAGCTCAAAAACATATCCAGGATAGATAATTTTACTGAATTGCAAATCACAAGTGATTAAATGACAAAACAATTACTTTTAATTACATTTGACCGACAGATCTAATACATAAAAATTGTTTCTCTTAGGATATACACAACTATGACAGCAATTCAGGAGTACAAGCCAAAGAATAGTATACTTCCAGTTACCTTATCACAAATTTCAATGAGTGACTTAAGAGTACTAAAATACTGTTTATTGATTCCACAATAGGTGAACAGGTTCAAAATGCTTATCCAAGTGAAAATATATTAAATGAAGGTTTAAAGGAAGGGATAATCAGTAATCTAAAACAAATTGAAAACAAATGAATTTCTATTGACCGCACATGACATGGTCGACAAAAATAATATTATGAGAGATTCCACCAATATCGAAATAGATAAGTAGTTCAAGGTTCAATAACAAGGTTCCTAATTAGATATATTAATTTACAATACAAGGAGGGTTTCTATTTAGAGTTAGACTGACTGTGATTTAAAATTATACATGATAACAAAGACCGTTTTCTTTACCCTAAACAATTATTTTCAAGATATGAGAGGTCTCACTAATTTTTGTTGCTTGTGTTGTTTGTCAGATTACTAAATATTTGAAATATATATTTGCAAAGAAAAAATTATTAATTTTATCTTTTGGTTAATAATGGGGAAATTGGCATGCATCATGAAAATTATTAGAAAATGTTTAAACTTAGTGTGAATAACATATTGATTATATAAACATATGTGTATAGAGAAAAACAAAAGACAAAACAAAGATTAGTCTTAAGAGATTTAGAAATCAAATAACAAATCCTTACTTTGCATATACACCTCCACCTGGGGGAAGATTTTTGATTTCATGTTGACGATTTGCTACTGTTTGCATTAATCCTCCAATTTCTAATGGTTCATCCTTCACCTCACTGCATATTTCTAAAGTAGCAAACACAAGGTAACGAATATTCACTACAAAAATCGTTATATCTGAAATCGAAAAAGTGTTTAATTAAGGAGTTATGCAAAATATGTGAAACAAATTTTAAACAAAAATTTAAGAAATCTGAATAAATTTTATCTAATTACAGGAATAGCATTTACCTACTTGTGTTTTAGATGTTTCAAAATAATGTTGGTTTCTGCTATAATACAGACATACATATATATTTTTATATTTGTGATGTAATAACATATTCGAGATCTCAGTCTCTACTTGCACCATGAGTTACAAAGCTAAAAATAGCTGATTATGTAATGGGACTATCAATGAGGCTGTCTGCTTATTATAGATTTTAATATTGCAACAATACGAGAAGTATCATGGTAAAATAAAAATGTTAGCATGTTCGGATTGCTAAGCGTAGAACAGAATATTGTAAATGTTCTTTGTTTAAATTACGGAGGGTATGAAGTCAAATAAAATTCTACACCAAATCAAAACTTCTCTAAGCTACAAATATTCATGTATTATTAAAACAATGTAGAATAATAATACACTTGATCAAACAAGAACCTTTAACTAGGTTTTTCAATTTTTCCTCCATTTCTTCCTCTCTTTTCTTTGCTTCAGAATTGCTCTTCGGTGCCGAAGGAAATGCCAAAATTATCAATGTCATGTTATCTCGACTCCCCTGGAAAATTATAACACAATGTATGCTAGCGATGGAAAATGATATTGTGTATATAGCATTAAAAAATATATTTAAATATGGTAAAACTGAAAAATAAGTTAGGTAACTATTTCAAACTAGTTCAGCTATAGAAATTTTCTTTTGGAATAGACTAATATAGGTATTTTAGATACTGTCAAGTCTAAATCTAAGAAACTTAATTTGCGAGATAAATTTCCACCACTAATCAACACCATATGGTGTTAGGACATTAATATAAAAGAAGACACTGAGGAGTTGCCTCAGATTGTTTACATCATTGTCCCAAGAGAGAAGTGACTCATGACGCACAAGGACGATATGTATTGAAATTAACAGGGAATATTGTTGCAGTAATAGTTATTTAGTTTCATAAAAGACATTGACAATGATCATCACATTTTCACAAACTTGCTTAAATGCCAATCAACTTTAGGACAGTTTTACCATATAGCTTGAGCAAGTGGCAAAATAAATTTGAGAATACCTTTAGAAAAAGGTAGATATAACCCCGAAACAGCTGCTGTGGACTCTATGCATTGGCACTATATTAGTAGTCTGGGCAGACAACAATCACAAATTGGAAATAATATAGTAATGATAAATCATCAACCTAATTGAAGAAGGCATTTTACATAGGCCTACATTTAGCACCACTGAGGATTCAGGATAACAAATCGCCTATTTAGAATAATCTTAAAAAACCCTTCCTAAAATATTTCATCATAAATAAATTTCATCAAGTAAACAATACTTGATTCACTTTAAAATCTTGATTATTAATAAAATTTATAAATATATAAATAAATTATCTATACTGCTATTTTATGTAGCACACAAAAACAGATTTAACATATGCTTATCTTACCTTGTTCAAACTTGTATCAACGACACTGTTGCAGACTTTAACTAGATCATCACAAATTTCCATCCTAGATATTATAAAGTCAGAAAGCTCGTCATTACTAGATACATCGAATATTCCATCACATGCCAGAACAATGAACTGATCCGTTTCGTGCCTTTCTACCACTGAGATTTCAGGGTCAGGAGAGACAAGTTGTTCTGTGGGACCCTTACTCTCTACATTCTTATATTCATAATCACCCAGTGCTCTAGAAACTGCGAGAGAACCATTTACTCGTTGAATCATCACACTTCCACCAGCATTGAGAATTCTTTCTTTTTCGAGAGGATTATTAGGCTTGTGATCTTCTGTTGAAAAATGAACTTTAGAATCTCTACATAACAATGATCTGGAATCCCCACAATTCACAAAGTAATATTTTTGTGGAGATATTAGCACACATGTTGCAGTAGAACCGCTTCTATCGTTGTCATTTCTAGTCGACGAAATCTCACGCATTTTTAGGTCAAGATTAAGGAATCCATCTCGAATGGCTTCTTTGACATCCTCATCAGGCATTTCTCCACCTTTCTCTCCGTTATTTATAAAATTTTCAAACTTTTTATGCGACAGGACATGTTCAATGAGATGGTGAGATGAATATTCGGCTATTTTAGAGCCAGCATGGCCATCAAATACTGCAAAAAATGACCATTGTGGTAGTGAAGGTAAGCCTACTTTAGCTGAATGACTGTCTTCCATATCCACACGCCATCCTTGCATGGAACTTGTTGCAAACTTGAATGCACTATTTCCTCCCTTTTCATTCTTTTTATCCGTCTTGGGTTTATCCAGAAAAGCTCCCATAATATTCAATTATTTCATTGATAAATCTAATATATTAAATTATATGCTATGAAATTTGAATAGTTTAAAAGAATAAATATTGCTTAATATATAATATAATTTTACATGAACAACAAACAACTCGAGATAAGATCATGTTGAACCTTACAAGATTATTCAAGTTGAAAAAAACCAAAGAATAAATAGAGAGTGTGTTAATCATCGTACATGCACCAGGAAATATATTATGTGTGACGAAGCTTTTTTATTGAGTGGGTTGCTTTATTTTTGTTGTGAAAAAGAAGAATGTGGGACATAAAACTGTTTTAAATGACATATTTATATGCCTTTTTATTCGGAACAAACAGCTACTGCTACTGTGTTAGGTAAGGGATTTAATGACTACAGTACAACCAATGAAAAAAACTGCTGTGTCATCTTTGGGCATCTTTTATGATAGTCTTACAATCCTGGTTTGATATTGTGTAGTTTTAAGCTTTATACATCACATTTCTGAAATCTGATTTTATGAAATTTAGGTATGAAAAATCATGGATTCAAATTATTATAAAGAACGGGAAATCTTGAAAATGTTACGACAAATAATTTCATTGATTCGTAAGAGTTGTGGATAGAATTCAACCCTGAGAGATTTACGTTTGGTTTTCCACCATCTCCAAAGAGTATTAGGTTAATAAGGTCATTACCAACCAGTTCAAAGAACCGATATCTTGAACAGAAGAAAACACATCAGATGAATTCTGTGAATTTCTAGATATGAAGAGTTCGTGTAATAAAAGTTGCATAAGCATTGTTGTTGTAATAGCTGTGAACCCGTATACAAGAATTACTGTAGTAGTTAACTTATTGTTAGATGATATTGACGAATCATTAAAAACACATAATGGTTTACTTTGTGCCAATGTATTAGTGGTATGCCATTTCTGATCTATGGACTATGTTCTATAATTTATATCCCAAATGTGCTAATTCGATATAAGAATTCAATATATTAATAAAAGTGTCAATCGCCCTAAAATATATATCTTTTCGATTATTCACCTCTTACAGTAATTCTACAAAAAAATTTTGAGTTTTAAATATAATTTTGACAAAATCAAAGTACTTGTTTTGCGAAATCTTGAACCAAAAACAATACTTTGGCATAACCTTCGAGAGTTTTGCAAGAATTGGTATCGAGATTTCTTTACATGGGTCTGTGAATCCCAGTCAAGAAGAGGTCCTTCTAGTACCGAGTAAGAATTTTACAATGTTGTGAAGGGAATTATTTTTTAGTTTATGCCTGTTATATAATGTGTAAAATCTATGCCAGTAGTTCTCAAAATGGGTGTTTTATGTTTTCAAGATTGAGTATAAAAATTATAGTTTTATTCAATCTGAAGTGCAATATTACATCTTTGTATTATTGCTAATGTCGGAACTGATCTTGATACCTCTCATTGAGATATCTGTAATAAATAGTTGGTAAGTGAATCAAATAGGCTACCAGCTTTTTATATTAGCATAATGTGCATATTCCATATACATCTGTACATTGGTCAGAATAGACAGTGGCTCGCGCGTTGGGCGCTATCATAATCAAACCTCAAAGCTGCACTAGAAACGTACCTTATATTTGTATATTACAGATTTCACATCAATTTCCAGTTATGTCTGTATGTAGCCACTGGGCACAGAACGATAGCACAGAAACTGTACCGTATCTGACTGTATCGCAGTACCTCACTTGCTTAACATGAATTCATTTTTTTGTTGAAGTTTTCTGGTTTCAGGGTTCTGTGACTTTTACCTTACCGGTATACCTACAGTTATAAGTAGTGGTGGGATTCAAATTTTTTGCCAGCCGGTTCCATCACAAAAATCATTTTTTTCAGTCGGTTCTGCTACAAGAAGTCATGTTTTTTTTCCAGTTATGCTAACCGGTTCGATGATCTCATAAAATTGCGTGAGACGGTTCTATACCGGTATGTCTATAGAACCGGTGCGAACCGGCTGAATCCGATCACTGGTTATAAATTATTAACACACACTCAACCATCAACACACACGTAAATAACGATATTTTACTCTCACGTAAAATGACTGTTTATAATAGATCTTACTTGCGTTTTGACATCTAAATTCCTACTACTGTACTAAAAGCTATGGAAACTCGACCACCATTCTTAGAATCGCTACCGACAGACCAACGGACGGCACATCTTCGAAGAAAAAAATAACGAGTGGGTTTTGATGGTTGCCAGATCCGGATAAAAATTTCCAAACGAGAGTGAAAGCATTTGTTGGGAATTGGGATAGGATTTACACATTTATCCCGCGGGAGAGAAGAGGCGTTAAGATGACTTAATCATATGGCGAACCACGACCTGTTACTCGCCCTGTTACCGTACGCTACCAGTATGGGATTAGTTAGCCAGTTATTTGTTTTTTATTTGAAACAATGTTTTGTGGAAATAACATCTTTCTCTCTCTCAGGCGCATAGACTGAAAAGGAATCCCTAACCGATCAGCGGATAGGGAAAACACCCTATGGCGACGAGAATTTCAGAAATCCTCCCGCACATAATTATCTCCCACTGGATTCGAACCTGCGAACCCACTCGGGGTAATCAGAGGTGCAATGACGAGCGTATTAAAATGCTTAGCGCAGCAGTTCTTAACCGGGAGTAAATACACCCCTGGAGGTGAATTTTGTCATTCTGAGGGGTAAATTTTGTTATTGCGGAAAAAGATTTGGGAAAAACAAAAACCGCAGCTATTTGCTTGTTTTGTTACGAGAAATATTGTGTTATTGGGAGGCTAACTTGCGAGAAATATGTATTAGCCTATTATTGGATAGGCTGATGTCCATTAGCCTATCATTGCGTCACAATGTTGTCGCAAAATCAGCGTTGGAGTGTGGAATGTGAGTTCGACTGTGATTCGTTCGGGGTAAAGTTTAACGAAGTTCTAATTAAACAAGCTTCATAAAAAATGGTAAGTTTTAAGTTGAAAAAAACACTCATGGCAATAGAGATTTGATAGGTGTCATTAGAAGGGATCATTAATTAGTAGCACGTTTGAGTTCAAAGTTATTTTCAAAAGCTCCGCATGGTAGAATATTTATTAGTATATAGTATTTTGTCTGAATTATATCAAGATTTGATGTAAAGACAAGCTACCGCGGGCAAGCAGCAGTTGTTTTTATAAGCGATACTTCAACACGGCGTAACCTTACAGATGTAATGTGTAAATTTTTTGGCGCGAAAATGTGCATTTTGTAACTTTCTACTAGATAAGCTGGGATAGTCCTCGTATCGTCAACGGTACTCCGATAGGCCCACAGGTACTGGTAAATTACCATGCAAAATTTTCAGGGAATTATTGATGGAATATCTCGTTCTGCTCTCCGTGCCAATATATTTGAGCATAGCTCTCTTATTATCAGTAGACCTATATTTCAACCGAAATTTTTTGAGCTCTTCGTTATTTCACCAGACATTGAAGATCTGATTGCCCAAAAACAAGAGCAGCCATCACAATAAATCTGATTGTTTTTCCTGAAAGCAGCTTCCCGGCCAAGCCTCTCTGTTCATTCTTGAGTTAATTCTTTGTTAATAAAGGTTTTTAATTCGAAATTAAAAAAAAAAACTAGCTTTTAGGATCAAAATTTCGTAAATTTCTCCGCTTTCTTCTTCCCACTTATTCCCCCTCTATCAGGCCCCCACTCCACTCTCCCCCAATATTCCCCTCCATTCTTACCTTCTTCCGTCACTGTCCCACCCCAACACTCTCTCCTTCCTCTCAATTTCTACCTTCCCCCTTCCACCCCAACACTCTCTCCTTCCCACTTCCATTCGTACCTCCTTCCGCCACTCTTGCACCCCAACCATCTCTCCCCCACCGCTCTTTCTTCGCCGAACCCAACTCTCGCGGAGAAAATGGTGTAAGAGAAAGAAGGTAGAAAGAAAAGAGAGAGATAGAGAGACTTCGCGTCTACAGTCAGAGCTCTTCATACTTCGCATCACGAGTTATTATTAAATTATCACCAATGGCTATATTGGGGGTAAATCTTGTAATCTTATTCGCAAAAGGGGTAAATGATGCAAACAAGGTTGAGAACCACTGGCTTAGCGCGATACGTCACGCCGCCACTGCTACTATTGCTTGATTTCTGGTTGAGTGAAAAATGCTGAAGTTCAGAATGAACGGCAAATAACAAATAAATCAACGCTGATGTAGGAAATGAAATAAAACAAGTCGCTCAAAAGCTGGGGGAACTATGTGGCATTTTTATAGTTTTCATTTTTTTTTTCATGCGCTAGATGCAGATAAAATTACTAATATTGCACCTCTTGAAATGGAGGAATAGTGCTAGAGCTTTTTTACAGATACATAAACTTCGCAATTTTTAGTATGGATTTCTAGCAGATGTACAAATCCATCCTGACGACGAAAAGCTGCAAATCACTAATACGACCTTCGCCTATGATTGCTGTGTATTCTAGAACTCTATTTTGCAAAACTTGAATTGAATGCAGGGAAGAATTTGTTGCCGAGCCCCAACTAAATAGGTTATCCCATATTGAAATCGCCAATGAAATACCTTAAAATTAACCAACTTTGGTGGGACAATGCCTGGTTTTATGGATAGGGGTGGAGTAATGTCTGGCGGGTTTGCGGGAGCTGGAGCGGGCCTGTGTTCATCCGGCGGAGGCGGTGAGTGTGTGGTGGATCCTGGACGGTGGTGGACTGTGGATCATTTCCGTTCGGGTGAACTTGGTGTGGCGGACGATGATGTCTAGTGATGGAGGGACTGTTTGTGTTCCAGGTTGCGCGGAGGTTGGGAAATGGAGTTGTCCCCCCTGTGTGTACAACAATGTTTTTTTTTATGAGTGGGCTTTCGGGTGATGGTGGTGGCTCGATGTGCAGACGGTGGTTGAGGCTGGCTGGACTTTTGTGACCGGTTTTCAGAAAAGGGATTGAGTGTATTGACTTCGGTGGTGAAGCCCTGAAGTGTTAAAATCTCATGGGGTGTGGTCAATATGAACCAGTAATGGTTG